TGAAAGAATTCTCTGGATTACGAGGCAAAGACTCTTGTTCTTTTTCCTTATTTTCACCCAAACAGAATCAGCCTGTCTCTCTCTCTCTCTCTCTCTCTCTCTCTCTGTTGAGCTACCTTATCGGGGGAACCTGCCCCCAATATTTCAATGTAGGTTATTTCTATTTTCCGTAAGTGTCAGCCAGCTGAGAAATAAAGAGAAAGAGTAAAAAGAGAGGAATTTTACAGCTGGGCCACTGGGGGTGACATCACATATCGGTAGGACCGTGATGCTTCCCTGAACCTCAAAGCAGCAAGTTTTCTTATTAAGGGTTTTAAAAGGGGAGGGGGTGTAAGAACAGGGAGTAGATCACATGCTTCAAAAGGCAAAAAGGAGAACTACTGATAAGGGTCTATGTTCAGCAGTGCATGTATTGTCTTGATAAACATCTTAAACAACAGAAAACAGGGTTCGAGAGCAGAGAACCGGTCTGACCACAAATTTACCAGGGCTGGGGTTTTCCCCAGCCTAGTAAGCCTGAGGGTACTGCAGGAGACCAGGGCATATCTCAGTCCTTATCTCAATTATATAGGACAGACATTCCCAGAGTGGCCGTTTATAGACCTCCCCCCAGGAGTGCATACCTTTCCCAGGGTATTAATAGTAATATGCCTTCCTAAGAAAAGAATTTAGCGATATCTCTCCTACCTGCACATCCATTTATAGGCTCTCTGCAAGAAGAAAAATATGGCTGTTTTTGCCCGACCCCGCAGGCAGTCAGATCTTACGGTTGTCTTCCCTTGTTTCCAAAAAATCACTGTTATTCTGTTCTTTTTCAAGGTGCACTGATTTCATATTGTTCAAACACACGTTTTACAATCAGTTTGTACAGTTAACACAATTATCACAGTGGTCCTGAGGTGATGTACATCCTCAGTTCATGAAGTTACAGGATTAAGAGATTAAAGACAGGCATAAGAAATTATAAAAGTATTATTTGGGAACTGATAAATGTCCATGAAATCTTCACAATTTATGTTCCTCTGCCGCAGCGCCAGCTGGTCCCTCCATTCGGGGTCCCTGACTTCCTGCAACACTACCTGTAGCTGGGGGAGGGGTGACACAAGTACCCCTGTGGCCACCATCACTGGGACTGTGGATGGTCAGACCTAAAGCCAGCACAGCTATGGGTTATGCTGAAGGCCCACTGTAACCACTACCTGCTACTACCTATGTTAGCTGAAGGTCCTAGGGCTCTACAATTAGCAGGCAGTGAAGCCAGCTAGTTTTCTGTCTTTCTTTTCAGGATGGCAAGTTCCCCAGAGCCCTGGGTGGGTTCAGAGATGCTGTTTGGGAGTCAGCAGCTGTAACTCCAGAACCTGGAGTCAGAAACCTTAGAAATCTACCTGGTGCTCTATTCTACTGAGGGTAAGCTAGCATTGAAACCATAAGACGAAGTCCTTTCTAGTCTTCCCTCCCCTTTCACCAGGCAGAGGAGTCTCTCCCCATGTCCATCAACACCACAAGCCACTGGGAGTATTGCCATGATTCTGCTGATGTTCACTTAGGATCTAAGGGCTTTGTAGTCAGCTTGTGGTCAATGCTGCCATGACTGGAACTCACCTTTCAGGGCAGTGGGCTCCCCTTTGGCCCAGGGCCAGAAATGCCATCCAAGAGCCCACTTGGTTCACTTCCCCACTGTAGCTGAGCTGGCACCTCAGCTATACGAAAGTCTCCTTTATTCTTTTCTCTCCTTTTCTCAAACAGATGGAGTCTTTCCTCATAGCCACCCATAGCTGTGAATATGCTGCATCATGCCTGTAGCCAGTATACCTCAGAGTCTCACCCAAGGCCCACAGCACGTACTACCTGGTTACTGCTGCTGATTATTCAGGCCCCAAGGGCCCTTTAATCAGCAGGTGATGAATCCTTCCAGGACTGGGTACTTCCCTTCAAGATAGTGGGTTCCCCTCTGGCCCAGGGTATGTCTAGATATGTTGTTGTCTGGGAGCTAGGGCCTGGAGTGGGGGCCTCACGACCCTGCCCAGTGCCCTATCCTATTGTGGCTGAGCTGGTATCCAAGTTGCAAAAGAAGTTTTTTCTCTTCTCTCTCCTTTCCTGAAGTGGAAAGTGCATGTGGTGATGTGTATTCTGGAGCTGCTAGCTGTACTGCCTGAAGTTGGGGGAGGGGTGATACAAGCACACTGCCTTGGCCACCCTGGCTAGTGTCTCACTAGGTCACATGGCCCCCAAGTCCATTGGCTCTAAGCCCAGCACAGCATGAGGACTTGCCTAGGAGTTGCAGTGCTTGTGGCCTAAGTTACCTTTCAAGTTTATTTTAAACCTTAGAGCTCTTTAGCCCACGGTGGTGAGGTTTGCCAAAACTCAAGTTCTAACTGCTGGAATGGATGATTCCCCTCTGGCTAAAGTTGATCTAAATGCTCCCAGCACTAAATTCCAATGCAAAGGCCCATAATTACTGTCCTTTCCTCTTGCACAAATGTACAAATTCTCTCTCAGTGCCACACAGTCACTGCCAGGGGATAGGGGAGGGGTGATGTTGGTAATTCAAGACTGCCTCTCCTACTCTCTTCAATGCCTCTGTCAGCAATATGCAGTTAAAACCAGGTACTGTGATTGCTCGCCTGACTTTTGGTTCTTATGAAGGTGCTTTTTTTTGTGTAAATAGTTGTCAAAGCTGGTGTTCCTGTGGGGATGGAGATCGGTGGAGGCTTCTATTTGGCTATCTTGCTCTGTCTTCCTCATGTTATTTTCAAAATCCATTTTGATTATCTCTCATTTAATTATTGTGTTTATAACATTTATATTTAATACAATTGTATTTACATGTTTGGATTCAGATGTGAGAATCTGGAAAATAATAAGTCCTTGTATTTGTGTTATTACAAAAATTTTTATAAGATCAAACCTATTTAAAGACATGTCATTATGTCACTTAATTTAGAAATTAAGAAATCTTAAATTTTGAAGAGTTTACCCATTGTATATAAAATATATTGTATTGGTTAATTTCTTATAAAATCAGAAAATATATAGCTGCCTTTAAATTAGTATTAACACATTCCAGTGATCAAAGATTCATGTTTATCAGAAAGAGTACATGAACCTTTTAAAATACAATTTTTACACTTTGTAGTCCAGAATTGTAATGTTAAAGACTCTTTAAATCATACTTCAAAACTTTTAGCTCATAAGTAATACAAGCTATTATTTAAATGAACTCACATTTTAAAAATAAAAAGTACAGTGAACAGCATTTTTCTTTTATTTTGCTAGATTGTTTGGACTAGAATATAACTAGAATGTATATGTAACAACAGATATTTGAAAAAATCAAATAACCTACAATTTCCAAAGTGAGAGAAAAAGAGAAGAACATCAAAAAGAGGAGAAAAGAGCTGACTTAGGCAACTGTTATCTCTGTAAAGGGCTAATTCTCTTTCTTCTGCAAGGAGAGGAGATAAAATTTGATGCAGAAAAACTCATTTGGACACAAATACACAAAAGAGAGTCACCACAGTTGATTTAAAAATACTCAGGCCCTTCACAATATTTTAAATAAACTTCTATTGCTGAAATAATTTTCAAGTAAGGGCATAAGGATAGTACAGGGAGGTCCCAAATACCCCTTACTTATTTTTCCCTATTGTTAGCATCTTGCATAACCATGGTACATCTGTCAAAACTAAGAAAGTAATAATGGTACATTACTATTAAACTTGAGACTATTCATATATCAGTTTTTCCACTACTGTCTATTTTCTATTCCAGGATCCAGTTTAATACAGCACACTGCATTCAGTCATCAGTTAAGTTTCCTTAGTTTCCTCTGGTCTGTTACAGTATTTCAATCTTTCCTTGTTTCCCATGACATTGATAATTTTGAGGAATACTGATCAGGTGTTTTATAGAATGTCCTTTAATTTTAGTTTGATTTTTTTTTTCATGTTTAGACTAGATTGGATTATAGGTTTTCAGAATACCACACACGTGAATTGCCCTTCTCATCACAGTATATTGGGAGTATATGCTATCAACATGACTTGATATTAACTTTGACCACCTGGCCAAGATAGTGTTTCCAGGTTTCTGTACTATGAAGTTACTCTCCTCCTCCCTTTCCACACTCTGTTCTTTGGAAGTTTTAGTCACTAAGTCCAGCCCACACTTAAGGAAGGTGGGAAAATGAGCCCCACCTGGTGAAGGGGGAAGTATTGTGTTAAGTTGAATAATGGTCCTCCAAATATATCTACATTCTAATCTCCTGTCATTGTTCTATATAGCAAAAGTCAGTTTTTGCAGATGTGATTGAGGAACTTGAGTAGGAAGAATATCCTGGATTATCTCAGTGGGCACAATATAATTAATTACAAGGATCCTTATAAGACGGAGGCAAGAAGGTAAAAAATGACAGAAGGTGATGTGAATACAGAAGCGGAGATTGTAGTCATGTGGCCAGAAGCCAAGAAACAACATAAAAGAGGGTGGAAAGCAGAGAAGACAAGATGTGATTTAAAGGCCAAATTTTTATGAAAGTACCAAAATTTGATCAGAATCCCAAAATTCTTGAAAATAAACCATAAATTTGACATATGAGGGTCATATTTTATTCTTCAGATTGGCAAAAACTGAAAATCAATTATATCTAGTGATGGTGAGTAGGCAGGAACATAAACAGCTGATAGTAATAGAAATTACTTCTTTAGGGAAAAATAATCTGACAATGCATCTTAAAAGTTTAAACACATTCTTTGAATAAGCAATTTCAATTTTAAAAATCTTTTTTTTTTTTTTTTGATAAAGTCTCACTCTGTTGCTCAGTCTGGAGTGCAGTGACGTGATCTCAGCTCACTGCAACCTCAAATTCCTGGGTTGAAGCAATCCTCTGCCTCAGTCGGAGTAGTTAGGGCAACAGGCATGAGCCACCACACCTGGCTAGTCTTAAATTTTTTTGCAGAGACAGGATCTTGCTGTGTTGCTCAGGCTGGTCGTGAAATCCTGGCCTCAAATAATCCTCCCATCCTGGCTTCCTAAAGCGCTAGGATTAAAGGTGTGAGCCACTGCGCCCAGTCTAGAATTGTTTCTTAGGAATAAAAGCACAAGTTTGTAAAAATAAATGTGGAAGGATGTATATGGTGGCATTAACTTAACGCTGACTTTTTAAAAAAAAATTTGGCACAAAAAGGTGCTTGTAAGTGCTCTACTTGTTTCTGAACATTTATTTCTCCTCATAGTTAATTCCTAAGCAAATCTTATCCACTTTACCTCCGAAATATGTTCTAGATCTGTTCACTCCTCTCTACCAACATTGTTTTTCCTAGTCAATAAACATAGATCAACCTAATAAAAATTGTGTAATACTCTTAATTTTGGATATATCATAAATATGCTACCATTTAAAAAATATTTAACTACTATAATTAACAAACAGTATGAATTACAGTAGAGATTTAATGTTTAATTTCAAAAAGATTCCATAAATTCTGACAAATGCAAACATATTTACAGTAACTTTTCTTACAATCACTGGATTACTTTGGTCTTTGGTTTTATTGGCAAGAGAGATTCGTGAAAACCATGACTAGATGAACATTGGAGGAAGCATTCCCAAGCATTATACACATAATTTTAGTTTTGCACATTTTTTTGTCTACTGTTACCTTGTTATAAAATTATCTTTTTTTCAAGGAATGCTTCGTAAAGCTTAGTTCTAATATTACAGAATTCATAGTTATGTAATTAATCTCAAAATCACTAACCATTGAAGACCCCTGCTACTTTTGCTTCCTATAACACGAAGTCTATCATCTCCTTGATAATTTCTAATTTCCATCCTTAGAACTTCTTCAGCTCTGCTACTTTTTCCTTAAGACCAGGGTCATAGGCAGCACACTGGTGATAACTCACAGTCTAGATATATTGCATTTTGTTTACAATTTTGTGTAAATAGTTGTTATTTTCTATGTTCAGCATCTTGCTGGCTGCCTTGGGTACAGTACCTCAATTGAATGTCTTCACCTGCATATTTGTGGACATTGAAATCATCTACCATTTTTCAGATACACTACCTTGTGATATAAAAAAACACAAGCCAAAAAAAAAAAAAAAAAAATCCCAAGGAATTTCTGAAGGAGCCTCTCTTAACTATTCCGCTGTTGTTAGAATAATGAGTAACACTGGTATAACATTCTACAATTTACAAGAACATTTATCTGCTTCATGAAACCTCAAAACAAACCTTTGAGACTTTCAGGATCCTAACCACTTTACAGATGAAGATAACTTACATAAAAGTTATGGGGTTTCCTGGATCTGAATCCTTTACTCTTCACATTATATTATTTTGCCTTCCCCAAAACTAATCAAGGACTCCGTTTTTTCTTTTTTCTTTCTCGAAACCATTTCCTCCATATTAGTTCTCTTCGGAATAGACGCCTTTTAAAAAGTCCTCGTTAGTGTATCTTCAGGGAATCACAAATTCACTATGCTATTTATAATTCATGAGTTTCTCTATGGTAGCAAGGCAGTAAATACAGATGAAGTAATAAGTATGCACTTGATATTACTTAACACCCATACCCCGTGTAAAAATACTGCTGGTGTACAGTGTGTGTGTTGGTGACGCCGGAGGAAGTGGCCGTGAACAGGCTTAATGCCGCATTGAGTAACTTCAACCTCATCTTGCTCAGGTTCGTATCTCTCTTGAATTTCCCATGGTAAGCGCAAGATGCAGGATCCGTTCTCACAGTTTTTTGCTTACCAGTTGACGTTGGCTGCATTCAGGAACGCCTCGCTCTCTTAAGCCACAGTGCCTTCCTGGTCTCTTCTTCACAGGGTTTTCCACAATCGCTGTTTTTCCTGGGCACGCTGGTTTGCTGAAAGTCGGGGTGGCGGGGCCCAAGTTTCCAGGCCAATTACCTACCTGCCTTAGAGCAATTACGCACTTGTCTCTGGGTGTGCCTGAAATGGTCTAATCATCAGATCGCCCTAATGAACGCCCAGCTTCTCCTGATCGTTTCTTGCTTACGGCTCAGTTCAGACAGTATTTGTTCCGGGACTCTCAGCGGGAGGCGGTGTTTACCGGCTCACTTGAGACCTCAATTCCAGACGCCCCGGGACCGTGTTTGGCCTTCCCATTCGGACGCTGCGGCTGCGCTTTCCTCTCCTAACATCACGCTGGCGAACCTCGGAAGGATCAAATTGTCCCACTCGCCAACCTAGCGCGGCGGGACCGGCCCAAAAGGGCCTTTGCAGCCTGCGCATGCGGACTCGGCGACCGCCACAGACTCCCCGTCGGCTTCCCTCCGAGCGGCCGCGGCGGTTTGGAGCTTGCTGACAGCTCTGCGACCGGCAGACGCAGCCTCGTCTCGTGCTTCCACGTTATCCTATCAGAGACGGGGCGGGGCGGCGACCTCCGCAGCCTATCAGCGCGAACCACGACCCCGGCGAGCCCGGGAGGAAAGCCGCCAGAAAGAAGGCGATTGGACGACGGCGGCGCTCCGGGGCGTAGCGTCGCCCGGGCCCCGCCCACCGCTGCCTTCCTCTGCTGGGTTCCAGAGCCGCTGAGGCCTGAGCGAGAGCCGACCGGGGCGGGCGCAACTGCTGCCGGAGCGCCGGCGCGTGCTGGTGGGCCACACACTCTTCCTTCTCTTCACTTGGCGAGCCCTCGGACATGGTGGCCCCCGGCTCCGTGACCAGCCGGCTGGGCTCGGTGTTCCCCTTCCTGCTAGTCCTGGTGGATCTGCAGTACGAAGGTGAGTCCTGCCCTGCCCCGGCCGGGAAGTGGGCTCCCGGACCAGGCCCCCCGCGCTTTCCCGTCTGCGCCCGGGCGCGTGTCCCGGGGCGGCTCGGGAGGTGGGGTGAGCGCTGGGGGAGCCCGCGGCCTGGCTTGGGCCTGAGCCCGCGCCCGGTTCCGGGTTTGCCTGGGGGAAGAGTCGAGGGACCGGAGGGCCGCGGGGCCGGGACAGCGGGTTTGGACTAAGGAAAGGGGCCGCAGGAGTCGGAGGAGGCGGAGTGCGCCCCGTGGCGGGGAGCGGGGGCACGGGGCTGCGACTTCAGGACGTCCTGGGACGCGGAGACTTGGGCAGTCTTTGGGTCCCGGCCTCGCTTGGGACCCTCGCTGGGCGCCTGGGGACACTGTCAGTCATTGGTGCTAGGAGGAGGCACTAAGGTGCCCAAAAGACTTCCTTCGCCCTGGCGTTCTTGGGTGGGGTAGAAGTGTCATGTCTGGCTGGGAGTTGGAGTGGACGGTGTTGACTATTTAAAAAGTGAGTAACCATCCCCATTAAGATGCACTGTCGTGTGGAGAAATTGTTAGTTTGGTGCAATGAGGAGCCGCTGTTGGAATTCCACCTCCCGGACGGCCAGGCACTGAGTTTGTGGTTTTACAACTCCCAGCATGGTGCCATTCAACGTATAGCTGGCATTACTTTTCCAAGTTCGCTGTAAAAGGTTCCCTTAAAAAGATATGAGCGATTAAATTTCACTTCAGTCCTGCAGACTGGAATGTTGGCTACTCCAGAATAGCGAAAATAGAGGACTGTCCTATCTTAGATGGCAGCGGGGAGGAGTAAGAATTAAAGCTGATAGTGCCGATTTAACGAATGCTTCTGGCGCGGTTACTGTGCGAAATATTCGAGTGTAATGACACATCACATGCACTGATCTATTTTCATCCCCGTAAAAAGGGCTGGTTGTCAAGGAGGTCAAATTAAACCTTTGAGTATTCCATTCAAAGGGAGCGAGGAACCAAAAGTTGGGAATTGTTTATAGTGAATTCTTCTGAAAGTTCTCAACCTTTTTTTTTTTAAAGTAGTACTCCCCAGTTTTTAGGTCTCACCCACAGCAGTGGGCTTTTGCTTTTGCTTCCCCCGCTAACCATATTTTTTGAACCCCAAATCAGAACACATAGTGTGGCAACATTGGGACAAAGAATTTGACAGTGAGGCTGCCCCCAGAAAATCTAAGGGGATTGGATTGTACCACTTTAATATGGGTCATATATTCTAGTTCTTTTGCATTTTCAAAAGCTTCATTCCTCCTGCCCCTGCACCTCTCACCCCTCATCTCTATTATTTATCTCCAGTTATCATTTATGATTTATTTTGGACACTTAAGAGAAAGTTGCCTATGTTCTGTTTAATGGTGATTTTTTTTTTTTTAAGTTACAGAGGTGCACAATTTTGAATGATTGCTTTTCCCACTACTTTGTGAACCATCTTTTTAGAATTGCTGTTCTGTTTATGAGTCTGTAAGGACTCTTTAACTCTTCATTTCCCTCCTGTGGTATTTTCCATAAGAAAACCTTATTAGAGAGCTTTTCTGTGTAGGAGGCACTGGTGACATTTTTCAGAGGAATGCCAGAGTGTCTTCTTTAGGACCATTGTCTTTGTAGCGGGGACTTGGTACAGGTAACAGAAAAGAAAGGAAAGAAAGGAGCCTTTCTGTAAGCTATCTCTTATTTATGAAAGCGTGTGGTATTATTCCTGCTTTACAGACCAGGGAACTGAGGCTCCAAAGGTTTTACTAAAGTTCACTTTGTGTGCACGCTGGAGACAGAAGTAGTTGACAACATCATGTGAGTCCAAGCATTTTTAAGTGATGGCAGCTGAGAAAAAAACCCCAGCACTTTTTTGTAATTAACAAGAAGGTTATTTCCTGGGAGGTTTAATACAATGGTTCTCAAACTTGAGTGTGCATCAGAATCGCACATGGAGGGGTTTTAAAACAGAGTGCTGTACTCCACTTACAGAGCTTGATTCATTAGATCTTGATAGTACCTGAAATTGTGCTTTTCTATAAAGACGCCAGATGACCACACTTGAGTTACTGGTGTAATAAATTATATAGAGGAGTTAAATTAGGTGTCTGCTATGTATTTGACACTGGATTTGGTGATGGGGATATAAAGGTAAGAACTCTGTCTTGAATTAGCAAACTGTTAGCCCCTGTTTTCCCAAATAAATTCTGTCTGAATTCACTAATCTCATAGTTCTCTGGGAGGCAAATGGTGCTACTGCTAGGCCTGAGGCTTAATAAAATTGTGTTGTATTAAGGATTTTTGTTAAATAGGTAGATTTCAGCTGCTCTTGTCACACAAAAAATAATTATGTGAGATGATAGATATATTAATCTGATTCACTCTTGTTAATCTGCTTCACTATTGTAACCATTTTATCTGTGTGTGTCTCATACTATGTTGTAAACATCGAATATACACAATACAATTCACTTTTAAAAAAAGAAATGGAGAATGGTTATGAGAGAAGTGAATGTGGAACTAAGAGTGGCACAGGATGGAGAAGAGATGACCTAGTTTTTTCTGATTTTGAAATATTTGTCTGTTTTCTTCTAGATTTTTCTGTTAGTTGTCATCCAGAGACAGAAAGTATATATCATGAATTGAAAGTTTGAGTCTTTTAGCACCCTCCCTTCTCAAAGGCCTTTGAAAGAGTGAAGTCAAAAGCACTAGATGAAATCGAATTTTTGGAATAGAAAGAAAACTTAGGTAGTATCTGCTTTAGTAGTCTCATATTACAGATAAGTTATTTCATTTCTTTGCTAATGGTTTGTCCTGTTGGTGACTTTGAGTAGCAACACAGCCTGGGAACCAAACCTTTTTTCTGTTATCATAGTTTTATCTCTTTTTCTTCTTTAACGTGCTATCTGGACCCAATTTTTCTTTATTTCACTGAGCTGATTAAACCATGTATTTTGACCATAGGGAAAAGAATAGTTAAAAATATGTAGTTGAAAATCTATACGTATAAAATATTGTGATAATTTTTATTTGAACATAACCTTTTAGAGGTATATTTTGTCTTTTCTAGGATTTTCTTGACATTATCTAAATAGGGAAAGAATAAAGTAGCAAAAATGAGAGACTTTAAGTAATTTATATAAATTAAGTATCATAAAAGGTGGTCACATATTTTCTAGAATTATTTTAAATTCTTTAATAAGAAAGGCTATAGGTAGCAGTAGTATCAAAGTTCCAGCTCTCTTGACTAGTTAGTATTTGCTGAGAGACTGTCTGGAAATGCATTGATTTTTATTCTGTGGGGTAGGGGCAGTTGTTCTGGGAGGGAATGCGCTGTGTTAATTAGGTTTTATTTTTCCATATGAAGTTAATTAATTGTTATTAAGTTTAATTTCTACTGCTGTGGTCTCTTTTGATTAATGTCCTACAGTTAATCTTTGTTTATATGGAAATATCATGGGAACCCATTCACCTGCTCTTCAGAACTCAAATGTTTCAACCATAGATTTATTTTTCTTTCCATATCTTTAGAAAGCTACTTAAAAAAATTAAATCTGATGAGTTTGTATCATTTGGAGCTCTGGAATATGGAGAAGATTCATTTAATCAGTCAGCAAAGGCTTTTACTAACTATATTACTCTTTGGTAAGGTGTGTATACATAGCATAAAACTCATGGCTTTTGCTCTTGAGTTTACAGACCACTTGGGGTTTAAGACATGCATTTGTGAAGTATTCATGTCTTATTTTTCTCCTTTCTCACTTTAGACTGAGTGGTCCATTATTGTAGTTAGTGCACTGCAAATGCCCATTTATTTTCTGGCCCCTGTAATCTTCTGTTTTACTTACCTGCCAAAACCCAACACTGGTTGAATTCAACTTGGCCAACTCTTTTTATACCTTATAGGTAAACACAGATGGAGGAAAATGGAGACACCTTGGCTGATTAGTCTCATTTATCTTTATTTTTATTTTCAATTTTTTTTTTGAGACAGGATCTTGCCCTGTCACCCAGGCTGAAATGCAGTGGCATGATCCTAGCTTAATGTAGGCTTGACCTCCTGGGCTCAAGCAGTCCTCCCACCTCAGCCTCCTGAATAGCTGGGACCACAGGTGTGCATGACCACATTCCCTGCTAATTTTTTTAAGGTTTTGGTAGGGACAGGGTCTTCTATGTTTGCCCAGGCTGGTCTTGAACTCCTGGGCTCAAGCAATCCTCATGGCTTGGCCTCCCAAAGTGTTGAGATTACAGGCGCGAGCCTGTGTGCCTGGCCCTGATTAGTCTCATTTTAAAGAAACAATCTCAGTTGCAAATGCACGTTAAATACTGCTAACACTCTTACAATTCTTTACTATGTCTATTCTTGAAAATCAGTATTTCAAACATTTTCCTCCCTCCTTACGCCTCTAATTTAAACTCTCCTTTCCTCTCTCCTCTACCTCATTCTTTTAGACCTTGTCTTTATTGAGAAAATCACAAGGCAAGTTCTTCTTTCTACCTCAAAATTCAGTAGCTTATCTACATTTGTACCTATTCTGCTACTTTTTCTCATATTAAATAACATACATTGAATGTCTCTATTCCCAGATAAATCTAATCTGTGTAATTGCACCCTGGATTCCATTTCCTGTCACCTTCTGAAAATGTTGCTCCTACAGTTGTATCTTTGCGCTGCTATAACAAAATACCACAGACTGAGTAATTTATAAAAAGATTTCGATCTGAATTTTGGAGGGAATGTTCAAACAATAGTAGATGCTGAACTTCCTGCTGTATCTTTCTTTGGCTAGATTCCACTGTCTTCTGTGTTTCTGCTACAAGACTTCTTTTAGACTCTCCCCCACCTTGCTAGTGTCTTGGCTTAGCCTTCTGTTCTTTTTTAAAAAAGAATCTTAGGGCTTTCCTCATTCCTCACATTCTAAGTGCTCCAACCTGAATAACCATCTCTGTCTCTGGGATTGCTGTCTGGTCTGGGTCTGCCACCACCTTTGCTTG